GTAATAACGAGCGTTCAAATAAAAACGTGGTCGAAGTTGGCTCTGACACATTGGACGTAGGGAGTAGCTTATAGCGACCAACTTAACCTCATTTCTCAACGAGCTGTATAGCAGCTGTCAGTTTCAATAACGTTAATGACTATATAACTTTATTTTAAAGAATAATCGTGATAACAATAACAAATAATTAAAGGAGAACAAACGCAAATCTTTTTTTAACACTGCGTGGCAGGTACCGACTGATACGCCAATTTTTTCGGTTCGAAGGAGGTACAGTCGTACCCTAGCCGGGGCAATTCGAGCGAATCGAGGAAAAAACCAGTTGTCCTGTATCTGATAACGCTGACAACTTATTGTCTACGCCGTTATCTTATCTCCGAGATGACCCGATAAACCCAACAATAATACGAGCACGCTCCACCTGACCTTGTGCAATGCCAAAATTCAACAACGGGGAAATTAATGATCCTCTCCACAGAATTTTGCCCGAGGACAAGTTTTCGCAGTCGCAGAATCACGCCGCTGGTCATTAAGACACCTGAGGATGAAACGTGCGTTTCGTCGAGTCTTTGGATTTTTTGTCCGGCCAGACTTAACAAAAATTAGAAAGGCGACTCAGACACTTTTAAAACCTCACAATTAAAAAGATGATCTTTATTTCACAACAATAATTGTTAATTACCTAATTGTAAGAATAAGAAACGCTGTCCATTTTGCACAATAAAATGGAATGTGTGAAAGTGTTTAGCTGCAACAGCTCTAGAAATGTGGTAAATATTAGAAAAACAAAAGAAAGTTGTTGAGTTTCCATCCCAATATGCCTTGAGTAAGCGTGAGTCTCGTTGGTGACGTCATCTTAAGCGCATAGCATGCATATTCACACCACGATTGTAACCATAAAAAGTATGTGAGATCCGAAAGTAAATCGTACATTTCAGGATCGTATTTTGTTTTGAAATGACGCGATGAAAAATACACATTGTTGACGAAGCATAATAACGAGCGTTCAAATAAAAACGTGGTCGAAGTTGGCTCTGACACATTGGACGTAGGGAGTAGCTTATAGCGACCAACTTAACCTCATTTCTCAACGAGCTGTATAGCAGCTGTCAGTTTCAATAACGTTAATGACTATATAACTTTATTTTAAAGAATAATCGTGATAACAATAACAAACAATTAAAGGAGCTGCGGAAAATGCCCCCCTCCTTGTTCCAAGCACTTTTCACACCTGTTCCTCAAAGAATTAAAGACATTTTCTAAGATGCTCGGGGTTTTGTTAATTTCACGAATCTTGTCTATAAGTCGAGCCTGCAGATGGTTTAAATCAGGAACAGGCAGTTCAAAAATAGTGTTTTTAAGGTAAGGCCACAAAAAGAAATCACACGGCGTAATATCACATGACCTCGGTGGAAATTCATGTTCAGCATTGAGACTTATTAGTCGATTTTGGAAAACTTCCCTCAACATATTCATCGTCTCGCCTGCCGTATGTGCCCTTGCGCCATCTTGTTGAAAGTTTGTAATTTCGTTTTCTTCCAGCTGGTTAACAAAGGGAGCGATAATTTCTTCTCTATATCTTTGCGCAGTAAGAGTACCATTAAAAAAAATAGGTCTATAAATCCTCCTTCGATTGAGAGCACACCAAAC